TATTGACTGTATTTTTTTATTTTTGGATTTATTATCTTCGCTGTGCTATCTTTGTTCATAGGGATCCACTCATCATCAAAGCGCTGGAACAATATTCTCAGACATGGACAAAGCAGCAAAACAACTCTCAAAATTTCAGGTATTAAAACTGTTTGTGTCTTTATGTCTTTATTGTCTTTATGCAATGAAAGAGACATTGAAAACCACTTGCTCCTTGGGTTATGTTGAAACGCTGACCCTGTGAAACCATTCTGGGAACTTCTGTTTTCAGTCTGTTTGAAAAGAGGAACATGTGTAGATGTAGTAGTTGAAGTGGAGACATTAGTGTGAGTCAAAGTGGAGTAACTAAATATATATCTATAAGTCAGTATAAGTGAGTTCCTTGAGCTGGAAGGATTTGAACTGCGTTTTGGCCAAAATGATTCAAAGATTTTGATAGTGGTGCATTAATTTAGTTTAAACACTATATCTGCTGAGGTTGGGCTGAACTCTCTGTTTAAACAGAACATGAGACATAACCCTAACCCTAACCCATTCATGTTTAGTCCGTTATTTTGGATGAGCATTTTCCACCATTCACCTAAAAAAGTAAGGGAGGGAATGTGGCAATAGTGACGGTACAACCCAGACAGCTGCCCTGCACACTTCTAAGACTATAAGAGAACATGAGGATGTATGTAGTTGGTTCCAATGCTTTCTGTTTTCAGTGTCTGAAAGCAAAATAAAAAATGGATTTTGTAATTTATTAATTAATATGAGTGACAAGTCAATGACAAATATGTAAAAAACAATTCCGGCCAGTTTGTCAGCAGTTCACACCCTTATTTTCATGTATATTTGAAAAGATGTGACTTGCTCTACTGTATACGGTGCAGTTCAGTGACGTTTTTTGTGTTGTTGCTCTGCAGAGCTCTACTGAGAAGCAGCTGTGATGCTGTTAACGCCATCGTTACACAGGAAAATACTCCTATGGGAACCAAGATTGTGTACGATGGCGACAGAAAAAGATCATTGGTGGTGAATACAGCTATTTTCAACACCTTTCCAAAGGTGAGTTCTTTGGGCATTTGTTGTGTCGTTATACTGACTGACGTGTCTCCATACGCCTAAACACCTCAAGTTATTGCTGATGTATGAACACTTTTATAGAAACACTTTTATAGCAACTCAACAGGGGTATTTCATGAATTTCTCTGCCACTGAACTATACCCCCTATGGAATTTACCTTTATTCCAATTTGTATATGAACATTTAGCTCTCGAGACAAGGAAAACAGTTTTTCAACCTGGCTACATATTCTTTTAAAATGTGGACCATAAATGTACATCTCTTGGGTGCCGAAGTCAGGGCCCAGGGGTCAGGTATGTAACAATAGTATTAGGGTCAGCGTTAGTGAGATAGTTAGTGTTAGTAATAGAGTTAGAGTAAGTGCTAACCCTAAAAATAAAGGTTAGATTTTGAAGAGAGCTAGGGGTAGTGTTTGGTTTTTCTTGTAAGATATAACCCAATGCTCTGCCACTGAGCTATACCCCTTTAATCCCACCATAGTCCTGTCTTCATGTCAAGAGTGTATGTTGTGATTTTAAAGTAAAGAAGTAAACGCTGTTGGTTAGGCTTTCAAATTAGCTTAATCCAGAACCTTAGTGTAGTTGTTAGAGAGCACCCAGAGTTGAACTTGGGACCTCTTGATGTGTAGTGAAATGCTCTGCCACTGAGCTATACCCCCTTTAATCCAGTCCTGTTTTCATGTCAAGGGTGTATGTTGTGATTTTAAAGTAAAGAAAAAAGTGTTGTAGGTTAGGCTTTCAACTTAGACTCACCCAGAACCTCAGCATAAGATTCGTAGGGTGAAGTTGTTAGGGGGCACCCAGAGTTGAACTGGGGACCTCTTGATCTGCAGTTAAAGGCTGTGTCACTGAGCTATACCCCTTCACGCCCACTCTACTCCTGTTTTCATGTCAAGAGTGTATGTTGTTATTTTAAAACAAATGGAGTCATTTGTTAGTCAGTCTGATTAGCTAGTTGTCCTTTAAAAATCCCCAAACTAGAGCTCCATTTCTAGGATAAGGGAAGGGAGCACCCAGAGTTGAACTGGGAACCTCTTGATCTGCAGTCAAATGCTCTGCCTCTGAGCTATACCCCCTTCACTCCAGTCCTGTTTTCATGTCAAGAGTGTATGTTGTGATTTTAAAACAGAGAAAGCAAAGAAATCATTAGTCTCTCCAATTAGCTAGTTATTCCTTTAAAACCTGAAGCCTAGAGCTGCATTTCTATGGCATTGTTGCAAGAGGGCACCCAGAATTGAACTGGGGACCTCTTGATCTGGAGTCAAATGCTCTGCCACTGAGCTATACCCTCTTTACTCTAGTCCTGTTTTCATGTCAAGAGTGTATGTTGTGATATTAAAGTAAAGAAAAAAAATAATGCAGGTTAGGCTTTCAACTTAGACTCATCCAGAACCTCAGAGTAAGATTCGTAGGGTGAAGTTGTTAGGGAGCACCCAGAGTTGAACTGGGGACCTCGTGATCTGCAGTCAAATGCTCTGCCACTGAGCTATACCCCCGTTCAACAAGCCTGTTTTCATGTCAAGAGTGTATGTTGTGATTTTAAAACAGAGATGAGGAGGTAATTTGTTGGTCTCTCCAATTAGCTTGTTATCCGTTTAAAGTATGAAACCTGTAGATACATTTCTAGGGTGTAGTTACAAGGGGGCACCCAGAGTTGAACTGGGGATCTCTCGATCTGCAGTCAAATGCTCTGCCACTGAGCTATACCCCCTTTACCCCAGTCCTGTTTTCATGTCAAGAGTGTATGTTGTGATATTAAAGTAAAGAAAAAATGTTGTAGGTTAGGCTTTCAACTTAGACTCATCCAGAACCTCAGAGTAATGCTGGGCTTACACCAAAAGATTTTCACAGTCCCAGACTAAAAACTGAAAGTCTTTAGTAAATCTCTGAGTTTTACCGGAGTCACAGCGCGCTCCCGTCATCTCGGTCGTTAAGTTTAAGTTAGTAATCTGCGCTGTTTCAGATCAGTCTTTTCCTAGTCTTGGGCTTGCGATAATATCAAACGTGTTTGATATTATCGCAAGTCGCAGTGACGTAACACAATCAACAACCAATAGATGAGCTCTGACAAAAGCGGAAACAGGAAACCTGACAGTTTCTACCAAGGGCATGATGGGAAAAAAATTGCATAGTGGGAAAAAAGAATAAAAGAATCTAGTTGTAGTCTTGTAAATAGTGACCCTGCAAGATTCACAGTCTTTGTAAAATCTCAGTCTGAGACCAGGCTGTGACTAGCCTGGCTCCGCCCGCCTACGTACTTCCGCTCAATTTTCATTTCACTTCAGTACTAGGTCTGGCAGTGCTGTATGTTAGAACGATGTCTTTTCCCTCAAATGTGCCTTCCAATCAGCGAACAGGTGGCGCGACCCCGCCTTCAAGTGGATTTCTCACTTGAAGGCGGGTGCTGTTGAAGTTTAAAACCTATTGGCTCTGCCCAGTGCCACTCTGGATCTGCCTTAACCAATCGCTAACGTTTGGTCGTGACGTATTTCATGCGCCAGAAACCACGTTGCGCGCAGTATACAAACGGCAGATGCAGTGAGCATTAGCATTAGCCTGGTTCCGCCCGCCTCCGTACTTACGCTCAATAACTGAAATTCGCGCACGACCTATACATCACTGTTCTCAGGCCGCGCCTCCTGTTCGCTGATTGGAAGGCACATTTGAGGGAAAAGAAATCGTTCTAACATACAGCACGGCCAGACCTAGTACTGAAGTGAAATGAAAATTGAGCGGAAGTACGTAGGCGGGCAGAGCCAGGCTAGGCTGTGACTAAACTCTCTGAACACTTGTCTTTAGATGTGAGCTGATAGTTTTCCAAGAGTCTTTTCCAAATCTTCTGATGTGTGGGTAGCATTAGCTTCGTAGGTTGGTAGGGGGTACCCAGAGTTGAACTGGGAACCTCTTGATCTGCAATCAAATGCTCTGCCACTGCGCTATACCCCCTTTGATTCTGTCTAGTTTTCATGTCCAGAGTGTATGTTGTTATTTTAAAATAGAAGAAGACACCATCTGTTAGTTATCCTTTAATAATCCCCAACCTAGAGTTCCATTTCTAGGATATAGGAGTCAGGATCGATAGAGCATTGTAGTGTATGAGTGTGTGTGAATGGGCGTCTGTGTCTCTATATTGCATCATGTGTTTGTTTGTTTTTTTGTTTTTGTTTTTTGGTTGTTTGTCTGTTCGTTGTTTTTGTTTTTTTCGTCTGTTTGTTTGTTCTGCTTACTTTCTTTGTATGTTACAATGTACGATGTATGTTTGTATTTCCGTTGTTAATATGGACCCCCTCGAAAATGAGATGGCACATCTCAAGGGGCTATCCTGTAAAATAAAGTCATAAAGTCATATAGTTGTAAGGGGGCATCCAGAGTTGAACTGGGGAGCTCTTGATCTGCAGTCAAATGCTCTGCCACTGAGCTATACCCCCATTAAACCCACTGTACTCCTGTTTGCATATCAAGAGTGTATGTTGTGATTTTAGAACTGAGAAGACAATGTCATTCCTTCGTCTCTCCAATAGGCTCTATGCACGCAACGCTTCCTCATTGGTCTCAGAATGCTTCTATAACTCCGGTTCCGGTTCGTAAGCCAAGATTGTACAACGGAAGTAAACAAACCAGCATGGCTTGCAAACAAACGAAAGTGTGTTTTCAACGACGGGAGGACAGCACTAGCAGCTACCACTGTTCTGATCCGCAATGTGCAGCATCTGCTAAATGCAATTTGTTCCTTAGTTTTTTTACTTGTGTTGTTACCGCTAACAACACTGGGGTGTTTACTTCCGTTGTAGAATCTTGGCTAAAATCTTGGCTTCCGAACCGGATTTATAGAAGCATTCTGAGACCAATGCGGAAGTGTTGCGTGCATAGAGCCTATTAGCTAGTTATCCTTTTAAAGTATGAAACCTAGAGCTATATTTCTAGGACGTAGCTGTAAGGAGCACCCCAGAGTTGAACTGGGGACCTTGTGATTTGCAGTTAAAGGCTCTGTCACTGAGCCATGCCCCCTTCACGCCCACAATACTCCTGTTTTCATGTCAAGAGTGTATGTTGTTATTGTAAAACAGCGGTTCCCAAACTTTTTTTCCTGCACACCCCCTTCTACATCCCAACCGGGTTGGCGCACCCCCAATCCCCACTTCAAAAAAAAAAAAAAGCTTTGTTTTATCGCCATATAAAGACTCATGTTTAATCATGTGCAAATAACCAGAACACGCATGACAATAACAACATCAACAAAGTTTCAATATAATGCAACAAAGCTACGCACAAGCTTCCACTTTTAAGAGGATGAGTGACAGACACGGCTCAGTGACAGAAAGTAGGCCTACGGTTATTTTCAGCCGCGTAAAAGAAAAATTGCAGCAATAGGCCTATTAAATGACCGTGGACCTATAGCGTCATTATAACACAACGGTTATGGAAAATAGAACGACAGTACATTGAATTAAATTGCAATGAAGTTACAAACGATCCGCAACATTAAGAGAATAGGCTCCGAAACAGATAAACAGGGGCTGGGATCCCACCTCGGCCGGCGCGCGCCGGCCCTCACTTTCATTGCGCCGCGGGGTTTCGTAGGACCCTCTGACTCGCGTGTGCGTTAGACTCCTTGGTCCGTGTTTCAAGACGGGTCGGGTGGGTAGCCGACATCGCCGCCGACCCCTTGCGCCAGTTGTACCTGAGCCGGATCCCCGCCCTGAACGACGCAACGCGGTTGGGACGCACTGAGGACAGTCCGTCCCGGTCGACAGTCACGCCGGGGGCGAGGGGGCCCCGTCCCCAACCCCCGTGAGGGGGGCGGAAGGCGCAGCGAGATACTGCGTCCACGGCCCCAGGAAGCGGCGAGGTCGGAGCGGGGGGGGCGCTGTAAAGCCAGAGGCTGAAGCCGCCGGCCACCTTCGCCCCCGAACCCTTCCAAGCCGACCCAGAGCCGGTCGCGGCGCACCGCGCGGAGGAAAAGAAGAAGAAGAAGAAGAAGAAGAAGAAGAAGAAGAAGAAGAAGACAGCAGCTGTCTTCTTCTACGTTTCTATCAAAAACTAAGAAATTATAGTTTTTTTATTTACAATAAAAGGGATTACAAAGGAAATGTTTACTGTTCATGTTTTTTTATTGTATGGAAAAATCCCACTTAAAAAACAGCGCTGTAATTGTGTAATATTACACCAGACCGCCATTACATTTTTCCTCTCGCGCACCCCGCGCCACACTTAGGGAATCCCTGTTGTAAAACAGAAGACGGCATCATTCGTTACTCTGTCCAAGTACAAATCGCTAACCTAGAGCGCCATTTCTAGGATATAGTTGAAAGGGGGCACCCAGAGTTGAACAGGGAACCTCTTGATCTGCAGGCAAATGCTCTGCCACTGAGCTATACCCCCTTCACGCCAGTCCTGTTTTCATGTCAAGAGTGTATGTTGTGATTTTAAAACGGAGAAAGCAAAGAAATCATTAGTCTCTCCAATTAGCTAGTTATTCTTTTAAAAACTGATCCCCAGAGCTGCATTGCGACTGAGCTATACCCCCTTGTAATATGCCATCGTCCTGTTTTCATGTCAAGAGTGTATGTTGTGATTTTAAAACAGAGATGAAGACGGTAATTTGTTGGTCTCTATACCCCCTTTACTCCAGTCCTGTTTTCATGTCAAGAGTGTATGTTGTGATATTAAAGTAAAGAATAAAGTGTTGTAGGTTAGGCTTTCAACTTAGACTCATCCAGAAACTTGGCGTAAGATTCGTAGGGTGAAGTTGTTAGGTGGCACCCAGAGTTGAACTGGGGACCTCTTGATCTGCAGTCAAATGCTCTGCCACTGAGCTATACCCCTGTTACACAAGACTATTTTCATGTCAAGAGTGTATGTTGTGATTGTAAAATGGAGAAAGCAAAGAAATGGTTAGTGTCCCCAATTAGCTAGTTCTCCTTCACAATTCCCCAACCTAGTGCTCCATTTCTAGGATATAGTTGTAAGGGGGCACCCAGAGTTGAACTGGGGACCTCTTGATCTGCAGTCAAATGCTCTGCCACTGAGCTATACCCCCTTTGCTCCAGACCTGTTTTCATGTCAAGAGTGTATGTTGTGATATTAAAGTAAAGAAAAAATTGTTGTCGCTTAGGCTTTCAACTTAGACTCACCCAGAACCTCAGAGTAAGATTCGTAGGGTGACGTTGTTAGGGGGCACCCAGAGTTGAACTGGGGATCTCTTGATCTGCAGTCAAATGCTCTGCCACTGAGCTATACCCCTGTTAAACACACCTGTTTTCATGTCAAGAGTGTATGTTGTGATTTTAAAACAGAGACAAGGAGGTAATTTGTTGGTCTCTCCAATTAGCTTGTTATCCGTTTAAAGTATGAAACCTATAGATACATTTATAGGATATAGTTGTAAGGGGGCACCCAGAGTTGAACTGGGGACCTCTTGATCTGCAGTCAAATACTCTGCCACTGAGCTTTACCCCCTTGTATCCCACCTCAGTCCTGTTTTCATGTCAAGAATGTATGTTGTGATTTCAAAACTCGGAACACAAAGTAATTCCTTCGTCTCTCCAATTAGCTAGTAATCGTTTTAAATCCACCACCTAGAGCTATATTTCTAGGATATAGTTTGAACAGAACTGGGGACCTGTGTATGTTGTGATTTTAAAGTAGAGAATACAATGTTGTTCGTTAGGCTTCCAAAGTAGCCAGTTGGCCTTATCCAGAACCTCAGAGTAAGATTCCTACGGTTTAGTTGCAAGGGGGCACCCAGAGTTGAACTGGGGACCTCTTGATCTGCAGTCAAATGCTCTGCCACTGAGCTATACCCCCCTTTCTTCCTCCTTAGACCTGTTTTCATGTCAATAGTGTATGTTGTGATTTTAAAACTGAGAAAGCAAAGTTAATTGTTAGTCTCTCCAGTTAGCTAGTCATCCTTTTAAAATCAGAAACCTAGAGCTACAGTTCTAGGATGTAGCTGTAAGAGTTGAACTGGGGAGCTCTTCATCCCCCTATAGTCCTGTTTTCATGTCAAGAGTGGCACAGTGCTAAATCAAAGTGTAGAGATGGGTTTGGCTATGCTAGCTAGGTATTACAGTAATTGAAAATCTGAACCCTAGAGTGACATTTCCAGGATGTAGTTGTAATGGAGAACCCAGAGTTGAACTGGGGACCTCTTGATCTGCAGCCCCCTGAAGTTCTGCATTTATGTCAAACTGCATGTTGTTCCAGTTAACCACATTTTCACAATTATTGGTTATTTTTTCAACTAAACTAAATATTGTTCAGCTACATTTCTAAGATCAAGCCATCAGGGGGCTCCCATAGTTGAACTGGGGACCGCTTGATCTGCAGTCACTTGCTCTGCCACTGAGATATATCAACACTTTTCGTCTATCGATATTTCGAGAGCTCTCTAGATTTGCCAGATAAAATGCCACATTTCTCAGTGTTATGATTTTTATACATTGTCACAAACTTAGCATTATACAAAATGTCATCAACAGACCAGAAAACATTTTTTTGATGATGTGATATAATGCCAAAATGGAGTCCAATACATTCAATCCATGACATATATATATAACCCCTGTTGTTTTTGTGATGTCTGTTTGTGATCAGAGGACTCCCTTCTCAAGCAAAATCTGGGGCACCTGTGCTGTGGTTGGTAATGGAGGGATTATGTTCAACAGCACCTGTGGAAAGAGGATAGATTCAGCCCAGCATGTTATCAGGTAGAGACTCCCGGACGACCTCCTGAAACTTTGTGAAGTTGCACTGAATCCATGGGTCGCGTTAACCGAATATTTTCCGTCATTGACCATTGTGCTGACTCCCTCCCTGGTGCAGGTGTAACCTACCTCCTGTGGAGGACATCTACCTCAAGGATGTGGGCAACAAGACGGACCTGGTGACGGCAAATCCGAGCATCCTGGTAGAAAGGTAAGGCCTACTCCATTGTGTGCTACCGTATGACTCCACCACAGTGAGGGCCAATGTCTTACCTTTATTCCTCTAACAACCCACCTACACTGCCGCTCAGATTTGGGAGTCTGGATGGGCACCGACGTCCCTTCGCAGAGAGCATGCGCCGCTACAACGACTCCCTGATGCTCCTGCCGGCGTTCTCCTACTCCAGGAACACCGTCTTGTCCCTGCGTGCGCTCTACACTATCGAGGACTTTGAGGGCGTAATCAGGCCCGTGTTCGCCAACCCATTGTACCTTCAAAGCATAGACAGCTTCTGGCGCACCCAGGGCATGATGGCCAAACGTATGAGCACCGGCTTCATGATGGTCAGCTTGGCGCTGGAGCTCTGCGACGACGTACAGGTGTACGGGTTCTGGCCCTTCCGTGAACACCCGCATCTGGCCCCTGGGTCAGCACCCCTCCCCAACCACTACTATGACAACAAGCCGTCGAACAAGGCATTGCACGCAATGCCCGACGAGTTTCTGCAGTTGTTGGGGTTACATAGCCAGGGCATCCTGAAATTACACCTGGGACAGTGTGGGCCGTCCAACACGTAGGCAACCCCCCGCGACAACCGTTCCACTGGATCATGTTGTGGACTCAACCTAATGTCTTAACACAATTATTCACAAAGGTCGCAATGTGTGTTGTTTTGTATCAATGCCACAAATGACCAGTGTTGGGAGTAACGAGTTACAAAAGTAATGCATTACTGTAACGCATTACTTTTTGCTGTAACGTGGTAATGTAAGGCATTACAAAAATATAATTGGTAATATTTTACTCGGTACAAATCTCAGTAACGCACGTTACAATGCATTTTAAACCCGAAATTAAGTGGTGTGTTGTTTTTATACAAACACCGCGAGATTAGCAGAGGAGAAAAAAATCCGCGCAAATGTTTACTTCCTGTTAGACTTCTACTAGAGAACTATCGATCAAGGACAAGATGACTGCAGCAGCGGAGTTGGACTCTACATTCGGGACTCCCGAATGTAGATGTATATTGTACTGTGGTTAGCCTTAAGCCTAGCTCACTCATTATGCCACACCACATCACC